GGAAAGCAGTCAGCACGCTAAGGTCTTGGCAGCTTGTTGCATTTGCATCCCTATAGGTTTTCTTTCTGCCTTATCACTTTCAGTTTTTATAACAAGCTGAAAAAAAGAATTGGCAGTTCAGCATAGTTTTACACCAGACTGACGCACAGGAGGGGTTGGACTTGGCTTTCTTGAAAATTGCTTTGAAACACAAAAATATGAACCCTTAGAAAGGAAAGAAGATTCTCTCAAATTTAACTTATTGACATAGATGATAGGAAATCATAATTAGTATATTTGAGTGTTAAGGAAACAGCCCACCTTTCCTTACAGATAAGCCCTTTTTCATGACTCTTGTGTCAGTTAGAAGTGGCACTGGAAATGGTTGTTGATACAATGAGTACGGTTAATTTCACTCATGTGCACTACATTGGGATTGTTCAAATGTAAAATGTTACGTTACTCTTGGGCATAAATGTTGGCAAGAGCAGGCCCTGCATATGTGTTTATCTTCAGCTGACCTGTTTTAACCTACTTGAAATATGATGTCAGGATCTGTTTTGTAGTGAACTTCCTTTAAATTTAAAGGAGTGTCACAACAGGGAGGCTGTTACTGACTGATGCAGGGTTATATAATGAGTGTCTGAGATGGAAATAAAAACCAAAGGCCCTTATGCTGTCCCCCATTCTAACAACTGGGAAACACGTGAACTAATACTAGATTTGAGCTACAAGTTCACTCACTTATTCCATGGGTGACACTTGCAGCCCTGGTAGTCCAGGGGACCTTCATTAGTTGGTTTACATTGCTGCCTGAAGAACAAAAAAATTCCCAGTAAATGTGAATGTGACATGCAATATAGGAGGTATAAAAAATGATACTGAATTATTGGGTTATTTGAAGGGACCTCCCGGCCCCTTCTTCAAATGTTCTTGAATGATCACCTTTTCCTTACATGCCATGACAGCTGAGTTATGGTGTACTGTGGCACAAGTCATGTTAAGCCTACAGCAAGAAGGGCAGGTCACAAAGTGCTGAAGTTAGAGGGAAAGGTAATCCAAGAAGAGTCCCTACCCCATCAGAAGAAAAATAAAAAAAAGCAGCTGTCATTACAAGTATCCTACTGTTTTTAATAACTGTATATTAGGTTGCTCCTCTGAGGAGGAACACCTGCATCTGCCTTTTCCACGGTATTTACATTCTTTCACTGACAAGATGGACAAAGTGGTTGGGACCTGAAATCCCGTTAATTGCCTGAGATCCACCTGGAGGTGCTCTGTGGGTCTTTAGAGTTGCCCAGACAGTGCAGATGGATGGCTGTCCATGGGATCTGCCTTAAAGGAGGATTCCTTGGAACAGATGTGGCTTATGGGAAAATATTACAGTCTCTGACTATCTTTTTTTTAAAATCTGTATGGGGAATGTGTAAGGTTTTTAAGGCCTTGCCTGTACTAGAAGGAGTTTGCCAGGGAGCTGTAAAGGCAAACCTTCCTTATAGCCATGCAAATTACACAGCACGAGGGTGGTTCTGTTGAAGTAAAAGAACAAAATAAGTTATAATGGCAAAAAAGAGGTTTTTGCAGATATAATAACTATGTCCACACTAGGACTTTGGTGGGCATAGGTATATTTGTCATGTTCCTCCCTCCTTCCCCAACTCCTAACTGATGTAGCTGTATCCGCAAATCTTGTATGTGTAGACCAGACCTAAGAAAAGTAGGAAATAATGGTCAACTCTCTTTAAGAAGAAGTAGAAAGTTCCAACAAGTTCAGATATATTCTGTATGGTCTAGCCTGTTGTCTGCCTGTCTTGTGAATGAATTCAGACCCACCAGTTCCATCTGCACATGTGTACGAAATGCACCGTGTTCTCGGAAACAGTGCTCCGCATTGGTCTGTTCTACGTGCCACTAGGTGGCACTTGAGGGACACAGCAATCACTTGGTTTCATTCATTATACATGAGCTGCTGTACCAGCAGTGATTCCTTTCTCTTTGTGAAAATGGAGTTATGTATTCTGTTTTCCATCTGACCTCTCTGGCCAGCAGTGCCCAATTGGATTTAGGGATCTGCCTTCTGTGGAGGAGCACGAGCCTCATGATCGCAGCTTACCAGGCAAGGCAGTAACACCAGGACCAATGATTCTTGACACAGTAAAGATTGCAGTGTAGCCCAGCACTACCACTGTCAATGAAGGTTGTTATTTTAATGACTACCCTACCTCCAAGCTGCTCAGGTAGCCAATAAAAATTTTAAAAATGCTGTGTCATTCAGTACTGAGATATCAGACTGCAGGGAGTTCTGAAATGTTATCCTTCAGCACTGGGATCAGCACCTTGGGTAGCATTTGTCTCTGGTGGGTTCCAAAACTTGTACTTCTCTTTTAAAAATGTACAATAAAATCTGTGTTATCCAGCATTTAACTAACCAAAATACTTAACCAGAATTTCAGTGGCGGGACGCACACGGTGCCATGCTGCATTGCACCACTTTGCTGCCTGCTGCATCGCTCTGAGGGTATCGGAGTACGAATATCATGCCGCACATCGCACCGCATCACTTTCCTGCCTGCTGCGCTGCTCTGAGGGTACCCACACAGGGTATCTGAGTGTGCACACCCCTCCCCCCTGCTGCAGCAGCCTGTGGTTGGACTGCCCTGGCATTTGGAGTGGCTGACTATTATGGCATTCTTATCTGTATGCTATTTTATTCTTTATACAGTATGTTATACTGTAATGTATTGTACACTAATTCTTTGAAAAATTACACTACAAGTATGGCACTGTCTTCCTTGAGTATAACTCTCAGATAACCAGAATTTTTAGATAACCAGCACCTCCCATTCCCCACTCATGCTGGATAACTGAGATTTTACTGTAATTGTACATAGTATTCTTCTGTGGTGAGGTCTTCTTTCTACCAGTTTTTCTATGACTATTCTAAATCTTTTCACCAGGTCCCTTGCCTTTTTTCTTTCTGTTGCTTGCTTTTTTGTGGGTGGCATGTATGGACTGGGAGTCTAGGTTAGTTATTTTGATTTGTTCAGTCCCTTAGTTTCTCAGGAAGAAATGGCACTACAGAGCCACATGAATCAGTGCAGGGGCCACCTATTTAGCCTTTTTTTGTTTCGGAAGGTAGGGAATGTAGATCGTGATTTGATTCAAGCACAAGTTTTACCATTGACTTCAGTGGGAGCAAGATTAAACCAACACCAAGAACAGATAAACAATGATATTGCTTGAAAGTGTACAGTGGGGAGATTTACTGTTTGTGAGTGCACCTCAGCTGAACTGTTTGTTATAACTGATTTGTCTGTCCACTCCTACCTTTCAGCAAGTGAAGCTAAATTAAGGTAATTTAACCCTGTTCATTCACTTCTGAAACATATGAAAGCCTTTTGGCATTAAGATGTTATCCAAATGATTTACTCACTGACAAATTACACTAGGATACTTTTTAGCATCAGATTACCTTGCAAATGTAGCAAACTTTAAAGAGGAAAAGAGGAGGGGAGAGAAATCCTATCAGCCAGGATATTTTTTCCTTTCTCAGGAAGAATTTCATGTGTTTTAAAAGAAATTCACAGATCACTCTGCTATCTGTGTAAGTTCAATATTTTACAGTTTTAGAGCACTAGCAAAACTGACAGAGCTGCTTTTCCCTTCAGCTTCTGTGCAGCTCCTATTGTTTTGATTGTGAAGAGAATAGAAGTAGTACGATAGCCTTTCTTTTTAGATATATTTATATATTTCTGTAAATGTTTTATTTATGGTTTGTGCTAAATCAGGTGTTAAAGTGTGTTCAGGTGTTACGCATTTTGAAGACATGGAGACAGTTGTTGGTTGCAGAAGTCTTTCAGCAAAAATCTGCCAGTAATAGCAGAATAGGTTTTTTTCAGGGCTTCATAAATTATTATTATGAGACTGGTTAAAATCTTGGCCTGGTTGAAGTTAATTAGGATTTTGCAATTGATTCCTATGAATCAATTGATTTCTCTTTATATGTAAACCTTATGGAAATGAACCATTTTTTGATAAAGGAGTATATTATGGAGCAGTAACTCTTTAGCTAGACAGAAGGCAGGGTAGGGTGGCAACTTGGAGATTAAGTGGTTCAGCAAGCCATAAGCTTTTATAGGCAGCAGCCTACTTTATCAGATGCTATGAATGGACTTCTGCCTGACTTCAGATTAACAGAGCTAACTGCTTCTCTTCAATCAGGAAGGCAAGATGAGGCTAGCCACGTTGCTGCCCCATAACTCAGCTGGCAGAAATTGGGAGGCAATCTACAAGGTACTGGGAGTCATTACTCCACCTTGGGATAGCAGGGAATTTAGTAGTCTCTCCATAGGAGCCAGGTGTATTATTTTGGGGGTCTACATGATGTTCCCTGCTCAAAGAGACATAGCTTCCAACACTGCCTACAAAACGTAGCAAAGGTGCACTTGAATTAGCCCACTGTTTTCATTATCCTTCTAGCCGGACTGTTTAAGGATTTTTCTCCTGAAGATGTACAGTCATATGTTGATTATTCCATTTGTTTCCTATTTGGGACTGGCTTAGAACAGGAAGGAAGATTATTTGGCTTCCCTCAAGTCCCCTGGTTAATATTGGCTGATCTCAGATTATTATTTAACATGTGTTCATTTTTTTTCTTTAATTGGAGTCTTCAAAATCAAGTGACAGTTTGCAACTCTGACCTATGTGGTGTTTCCTGGGTCTTACCTTACCTCTAAATACTAAGGTTTCTGAGTAGCAAGTCATTTGTATTCAAAAAAGGAAGCAGTTACAACAAATATTCTCTTGTCTTCTTTTTACTGTAAAGGGAAAATGGTTTAATTAAACATCTACTAAAAACATGTATGTCATGCATTCAGATATCACTCTGTAGTTTTATTTCCTTCAGAGTTGAATTGCTAAAGTAACTTTCCTTTTGTGCCTAATGTTTGCTTTCATTGTCCTTATTGTACATGACTGCTAGTCATTTTCTGGGTGCAGCAATGACTGATTTGTTGTTACAGACAGAACAAGTATCTGAGATTGAATTACACCCTCAGATGAATAGAGTCCCGCCACAGACCGAAGAAAGCAGCCCAACAAAAAAGGTAAGACAAGTATGTCTACCATCATTGTTGAGTGATCTGCTTTATCCTCTTGACTTCATCAACAAATCAGAGTTGTTTTAGGTTTTAAAGCAATTACACTGTGGATTAGTGTTACATTTTTACATATTTACCTTTTCTGGAGGTTTAGGATGCTAAAAGGAACTGGGCTTATAAGTGACATTCAGGCTCAGCTAGATAAATCATTAAGAAAGCTCCCAGTATATAGACACCAATACACATGCTTCCCATTTGTTTAGAATTAGCAGGGACTTGGGACCCTTAAAGAAGTCTGGAAAAGGGATTAGTGGTATCAGGTCTTCCCTCCACTCTAACCCTTTGAAACGGTGAATATTTTGATAAATCTAATGTTAAGGATTCAGTTCTGGCCCATGATAAATTCAATAACTATTTGTTAACAAGCAAATATTAGTATTAAATGTGCACAATTTCTAGGGACATGTTTATTATATATGAATGACAGGTTTTAATGTGATTACATATAAATTAACCACTGTAACTGCAGTGATGCTGTCCCACGTGGCTAAAATCAGAGCCTTCCACAGTGATGAAATCCTGATTCCACTGATGTCAGTGGGTGTTTTATTATTGATTTCAGTGGGGCCAGGATTTTGCCCCATGGACTTCATGATTTCCCTGGCCTGTATTGGCTGGCTGGCTTATTTATTTCAATTTATGAAACAAGAAGCACTTTGAAAATTTCAGGTGCCTCTGTGATTAAAGCATGTCACGTGTCTGAGCAGTGGATGCAAAGATGACTGGGTGTGTTAGTTAGGTGGTCGGAAAAGAGAGTCAGAATCATAGAAAATTAGGGTCAGAAGGGACCTCAGGAGGTCATCTAGTCCCAACCCCCTTCTCAAAGCAGGACCATCCTCAACTATCTCACCCCAGCCAGGACTTTGCCTAGCCAAGTCTTAAAAACCTCCAAGGGTGGAGAGTCTGCCACCTCTCTGGATAACTTTTTCCAGTGCTCTCTTAGTGAGAGAGTTTTTCTTAATATCTAACCTAAATTTCCCTTACTGGAACTTGAGACCATCGTTCCTTGTTTCGTCATCTGCCACCACTGAGAACAGTCTAGCTCCATCCTTTTTGGAACCACCCTTCAGGTAGTTGAAGGCTGCTATCAAATCCCCTCTCAGTCTTCTCTTCTCCAGATTTAATAAGCCCAGTTTCACCAGCCTCTCTTCAGAAAGCATGTGTTCCAGCCCCCTAACCATATTTGTCACCCTCCAGTGGACTCTCTCCAATTTGTCCACATCCTTTCAGTAGTGAGGGGCCCAAAACTGGACACAGTACTTCATATATGGCCTCAGTGCCAAATAGAGGGGAAGAATCATTTCCCTTGCCTGCTGGCAACACTCCTACTAAAGCAGCCCAGTATGACATTAGTCTTCTTTGCAACAAGGGCACACTGTTGGTTCATACTGAGCTTATTCTCCACTGTAACCCCCAGGTTCTTTTCTGCAGAGCTGCTGCTGATTAGTCAGTCAGTCTCCAGCCTTTACATGGGATTGTTCTGTCCTAAGTGCATAACTTTGCACTTCTCCCTATTGAACCTCTTAAGATTTATTTTGGTCAAATCCTCCAATTTGTCTAGGTGGGTGGGTCATGTGCTGAGAGAGAGGACTGCTAAAAACACTCTCATAGGACCTTCAGTAGAGTTCCTTCCCATTCCTTTTCTTGCACCATCTCCTAAAATATTTAATAATTTATTTGATGGATATGCCACCCCTTCCAACAAAGGCTCAGGGCAGCTTACATATAAGAGAACAAAGTAACCTATAAAACAGGTGAGAACCAAGAGAAAAAAATGACTTCAGAGGGACTTAGAATATCAGCTTAAGGGAGATGCCCTAAACAATAGCTCAGCCTGGCTTTGTTTGATAAATGCCTACCAAAATAGGAAGGTCCTACAGTAATTCCAAAAGATGTTCAAGATTGGGCTCTGGTGAGCTTTGAGGGAGGGAGAAACAGAGTTCATGAGCAACTTCTGAGAATGACCTTACATTTTTGCCAAGCAGACTTGGTGTAGTGATGGTACTTGCAGGAGGTTGCTCTCAGGTAGCCTTAGGACTCATGATAAGGCCTAAGAGAGAGGGTGTTTCCTTAGGTATGCAGGGCTGAGACCATTTAGGGCTTAAGAGGTCAAAATCAGCACCTTGAATTGTGCCCAAAAAGTTATTGGGAGCCAGTGGAGAAGCTGGAGGACTGGAGCTGTGCGCCCTGGCATCCCACCCCGTCAGAAGATGAACCATCACATTCTGCACCAGCTGTAGCTTCCAGATAGCACTGCCCTTGAAAACTATGTAGAGCACATTGCAGTTGTGTAGTCTTGAGGTTATGAAGGCATGGATGATGGTGGCCAGATTAGATTTTGAAAAAGAGGGTCGCAGCCTTCTCATCGGATGGAGTTGATGGAAGGCACTCCTAGCCACTGCTACCACCTGAAGAGGTAGGTGCAACAAAGGAGCATCCCAAGGCTGAGAACCTGGGTCAGAAGGGGAGACTGAACCCCATCAGTGATAGGTGACCCAATCCCCTCAAGTCCAGTGGTCTGCCTATCACCATCACCTCTGTCTAGTCTGGATTCAGTGTCAGTTGGTTTCCCCACATCCAGCCCCCAACTACAGCCAGGCACTGGGAGAGGACTGAGACTGCAGGGCCAGAAGAGAAGGAGAGGTATTGCTGGGTGCCATACCCCCAGTCCACTCCCAGCTTCTCCCCATGCACCTCTTCCTGCAGACCTCCTTTGGTTGTATTGCAGTTTTAGTAAGGAAGGGACATATGCAATGGGTAGAACTAACAGATGCACCTTTGCCTTTGGTACAACCTCTGCCATTCAGGAAACAGTTCCTGTCCTTCTACAACCACTAGCAATGCTCACGTCCCTCTAGCCTAACCCAACCCACCACTCTCCCAAAAGGTCTTAGAGGAATACTATTAAATGAACATAATATAAAGAGCCAGCAGGCAAGTGCAGACCTGTGAGACGTATGTGGCTAAAGTTACCACTGGATGAGATACACGCTTTATTTTAATTATGGAATGATGTCTAACTTACAACTATAGAGTCTGTCTGACCTGTATCTTTAAAGAGTTGATTTTCTTGACAGTAGCTTCCCTAGGAGTGTTTCTAACTGGGTAGTCTCAAAGTATCTGCCTGGAATGGTCCAGTGCCTCTTTTTTTCGTCCAGTGCCTCTATTTTTTGTTATCTAACAAGCTTCTTATCGGCTAGTTTCCAAGTTCACTTTTCGGGTAATAGTGGTGGTATTGTCTCAGCCTAAAAGAAATCACAAAGCAGCAGAACCAGTTTTGGTTCAATTTGTACCACTCAACTTTCTCTTTATTTCTGAAAACCTGGCTCTCCCCGATCACCCTCCTAAATAGGTCTCTGTTTTTTATATATCTGGCTTTCAAGGCAAGGATTTTTTTCTGATATCTTTTATTGGGCCCCGTGTATAATTGAGAAAGCTGTTGGACAAGCTTCAAGGCATCAGGTGCTCTTCAGGTCTGAAGGAGCAGCTGGCAAAGGCTAAACTAAATATCAGAGAAAAAAACTCCATGCAACTGCAAACAAATAGTGCTTGGTAGGATGGAGAAGGGGCGTGAACTGGGGGTGAAGAGACAGAAAACAAAAGGAGTGCATTAGAATAGGCAATCTAGTGACACCATTCAAGACAGCGGTTGTTATAACCTATGAAGTGCAGGAAATTATTGGTAGTATTAGTCAGGTTGCAATTAGCTGTAATGCCACTGTCTATATTAAGACCAGATTTTTTATTCCAGTATGGTTATGCATTTCTTTTCCTAGGCCTGCCTTCTGAAGGTGTTTTATAAATTCCCTTTGAGCACAAGGATTGTGAGGTCAGAGGAGGAGTGTTTGTTTTGTGAAAAATGCATGTTTGTGTGTCTTTATCCTTCGTATTTTTTCTGTAAGAGTTCATTCTGGTGTGTAGTTTCTGACCAGTTTCACCCAGATATTTTCCATGGGGGCATCTGGTATACTGGATGAGATGTGCCACATTCGGTGATGTATGTGTGTAGGATCAGTAGACTCTAATGGGTTTTTTTATGAGAGGTATTCTCTGTTGTGGCATTGGAGACATGTTAATAATAAATAACAAATATGTATCTGGCTTTAGGACTAGAACACATGTTCAGCTAACTTAAAAATAGGGCTTTTGTCATCTGGATTTTAACTGTCCTTTGCCAGGATAGAGTAAAGAGAGACTGTGTATTTTGCATTTCACCAGTTGATGCATGTAGAAAGAAATTCCTAAGTCCTCCCCATGTGGCAGAGAGCTGTCCCACTCAGCCAAGTCTGAAACTAGGAAGCACAATATTAATTCAGATCTGTAATCACACAAAACACACATCCCCTTGTCTTGATATTAAAGGAAATGGTAAACATAGATACCACTAAAATATTTTTTTAAACAAAACAAACCCAAAGAGGAACTGGATGACTGAATGTTGGAAAGGAACTTTTGAGCCTTTTGCCTGAAGATGAATGGTTGAAAATCTGTCTATACTGGCAATAATGACTGACTGGTAATTCCCATTTAATGACTATTTAATGACTTCCTTGAAATGAAATCTTACTTCATTCCAGATTCTAGTTCCCTGCTTTTTGCAGTCACAATACCAGCATCACCAAGGGTGCTAAGTTGTGATTTAGTACAGAGGCTGAACTAATTTTTGCCCGTACTGGTAAGCCCTTTCTAGATCTGGCCATGCTGATGAGACTTGGTGTAGATGCTGGTGCTCCTAGTGACACTGACACTGTACCTATTCTATATAGGAGTGACTGACTTGGCCACTACTGCTGTTTAACCAGCAACTACCTAAGTGCCACATTTACTTAAATTAACAAACACTGACAGCAGGACTAAACAATAAGGGATTCATCTCCTTTGTGAAGAGTGTCACAACCCAGTGATTTTTTGTGCCTTGGCACTATGGAATTCCTGGCCACATGAGA